TCCGGAGGCGTTCGCTGCTGAGGCGGTGCTTTCCGACCCTGGGTACGTTGATCTGGAACCAGAAAGGTGCCGGGCTTTTTTTTTTTTTTTTTGGCTGGGTGAAGGGCCAGGAGGGAGTCCATTGAGGGAACATACAGTCTAGTCTGTATGATGACAGGATGGGTTGGTTGGTGGATATTTTTGCCGAAGGACTTTTTAACACTTAATTGGGAGTGTAGTCTCCCGTCTCGCCAGCTCCTGGGATTACAGCTCCCGAGATGACATCCGTGAAACTTCCATCATCTGGGGCATCATGTGTGTAAGGGTGTTGGGGGCAGGAGAGGGAGTTGAATGAGGGCTGATGGGGAAGCTCAGAAAATTCCCCGCATTACTTATTATACACAGCCTGTTAAGGGCAAGCTAGCTAGCCACGTTTTACTGTTTCCTACACCTTTGGGGATTGTTGGGATTTTTTTCACTTTCTGCTTCCTGAATTGGTCTCCTTGCACTATGTATGGCTCGGAACATTTGAGGTGCGTTAAAATGCTCTTCAATTGGAAATATGATTTAGCAGCCATTTCTTACCGTGAAACCTTTCAAATGGTCGTTTGGAAACTTATGTATATGGCATATATGAGGCGAGGTAGCACACTGTTACCAATGCGGAGGTCGTTGCGGTGCATAGGTGTAAGTACGGACCTCACGGAATTAATGCTCACTTTAGGCATGTACTGTAGAATTATGATAAGGCATCAGGCCTGATTATAGCCATGTCTTCTGAGGCCTTATTATAGTAAACAAAGAACTTGTGTGGGTTGTGTCATTTTGAGGTCATTTGTATCTGAAATCTGTCATATACTTAAATATGCTTAAATATGTTCGCATAATGTGTTACTTTGAAGGTTCATGTCTATTTTCGACTAGGGTTACATAATATATAAATAGTAACACTTTTAATTGCTTTGTTTTGTCCTACAGGATTGCACATTAAATATCTTTATGAAAAAACATTCAGGGATGTGTGTGTGTGTGTGTGTGTGTGTGTGTGTGTGTGTGTCCGTGTGTCCTTAAACTGATGGCAATTCCTTTACCACTTGGAATTTCAAAATGACTCTTTTTTTTTTTAACATTCTAGATTAAATAAACACTGGAAAAATTAAGGTCCTTAAGTCTGGTAGCTGTAAATAAGACAGAATCCTTTTTTGCTGTTCTAGCCAACTGTTGGATTTAAAAAAATGAATCATATTTTTCTTAAACATTCAAGGGAGCAATTTACTTTTTTCCTGAGTATCATTTCAGGCTGAAATTGTTCCAGAAGACTACATAGCCTGCTTCTTGCCCACCCCGTCTGTTTCCCCCCCCCCTTTTTTTTTAGCCTGGGATAATCGAGAAAATCATAATTGTGAGATTCTGTATATGTTACCTTATTAAAAAGCTCTTTTTAAAATTAAAGTTGATTTACCATCTTTTACATACTTTATTATTTAATAATGGATGGTTACCAGAAGATAACCGATATTTTAATTAAATGTCTTTCACGTTTTTGACATCCAAACTTTGTTAAAAATAATATCTGCAATTTTTTGCTGAGAGTTGCAAATAATACACGGTTAGTGCTAGTCAAAGGCTGTCTAATTATAAGAACACTTAGAAAATAAATATCAAAAGAGGCAAGAAGACCCATTAGTACTTTTGACATCACTTACTTTATTATACATTACTTAGTTCTAGGTGGTTTTTGAAAAACAGCATTTTGAAAATTAGACATTAGGTAATAATTTTCTTTTCCAAGGTGATTCATTTGGTAAGTGATTAAGCTTATATCAGAACTCTATTTCAAGTGGCTGTAGTTAACTTGCAAGGGATGTGCTGGTATTTATTTGAGGAAGGGTGAATACCTGGCCATTAGATAAAACAAATACTGGGCTGTTTGAGGATATTGTTAAGTTATTCCTAAAAAAGTTATACAGAGAAGAATTATGCTAGTTTTGTTTTACCCGTAGCTTCCTTCCTTCCAAAAACAGTTTTCACATTTATTAATATTATAAGAACAGATAAGCATAAGAGATCTCTTTACTGATGTGGTACTAGTACTGAATTAAAGGTTTTATGTCATCATTGTAGGGACCAAGTTCTGCTTAGGGTGGTTTTGGTCAGTCTCACAGAAGCTGCGACTCTTCCAGTTATTTGTATGTGACCACTTGGGGGAGACTTTACAATTTAGGTAGACCATAACCCTCTCTCACACACTGGCTGCTAATCATCCCTGGGCGTTTTGCCAAACTGCTGGAAATGTGTTGAGGAGGACACACTTAGAATCAAGTCTTGATCAAGGTGTATAATGACTTTTATTTTTTTACCTCACACCACTCTTACAGAGTACCTCCCTTTATAGATTGTGTTAATAACAGTCTACTTTTTGGTCTACCGTTAAGTGGCCTAACTAAATATCTAACACAGTGAAAGATGAGATTCATGAATACATTAGAGCTTTCAAAGATCTGACTTTACTGACAAATCTTAGAAGCAGTGTAGGTTTAATTACTTGCTTAGTGTACACAGATATCAGTTGTCTGGAAAGATCTAGAGAGCATGTCACTCTTCTGTGAGATAACTCTATCCAAAGCCCTTTAAACTGATTCATCTCCTCTTTTAAAAAACTTTCACAGGACAGGATACTGAAGCATTCCTTGTACCTAATTTCACCACATAGGAGTTCTTCCTTCATCGTAGTAATAGAGATAAGATCAAAACTCACAACTATGGTGACTGTTGAGCTGTGGCTATTCTTAGGGGGTACAATCAAGTCAGAAGTCTGGTCTCCACTTTTTCCTCTTCTGACAGCATTTAACCATGTTAGTGTCCAATTCAATAATAGCAAACTCAGTTAAGAAAGAATGTTATGTTTACAGTAGCTTAGAACTTAAGTTTTTTGTTCTTTCTTAACTAAGACCTTTGTACATTCTTGATCATAGTAGATTCATTCACAGTATAATAAACATTATAGAATTTAAAGTAGTTTCTATCATCCGAGGTTCTTCTTCTTTCCTTTAAGATGGCTTTACTTTTGTCCTAAAATTCTTTTTTAAAAAATTCATAGTGCACCAGAAGAGAGATTTGCTGCTTAGGAAATGTTCTTTTGCTGCTTAGGAATTGTTCATTCCTGGCTAACCTTAGGGTTGTGTCAGATACTTGAGGATGGTAATTTCTAAAGGCCTATGTGTTCAAGTTATCACTGATGCAAGGCAAAATGAGAATCAAAGGTAATATAATGAAGTTTTTCATAAAGCTCAAGTTATTTTCAAATCCTTTTCACTGCCTACTAGTTCTTATACATGATCTGATCCCTCCTTACTTCAACAACGTACACCATTTCCTCTTAGGTCTATTACTCCTTTACCACGTTTACACTGCCTGTCTTTTTGCCCCTCAGAAATGTCATGGCTTTTTTCCAACTAAGCACTGTTCCCTTTGCCTGGAATTCTCCTTCCTAAAACATTACATGACTGGTCATCATTTCAGGTTTTAGTTCAAATATAACCTTTTCAGACAAGCAGTATTATCTAATCACCCTTTCAGAATTATACTATCCTCATTTCCCTCCATCCCAATTTTTTTCCCTGCAAACTGTTTATTGCTAACTGAAATTATATTTTTATTTTATTATCTGTATACTCTCACTAGGATGTTAGCCCCATGAGAAGAGTGATCTTATCTCTTTTGTTTAACACTATGTTTCAAGGACTTACACCAGTTCCTGGCACACAGCTGTCATTAAACAAATATTCCTTTTTTAAAAAATCTGAGGTTCTGTGCTTCCTCAGGTTTTAGTGTTAAAATAACCCTTTATGAGGATTCCAGTCAAGAGGGTGGAGTAGGTGAATGTTGTGCTTGCCTCCTTTCATGACCACATCACAATTACAACTAAATTATAGAACAGTCAACCTGGAGAACCGTCTGAAGACTAGATGAGTAGAAGTCCTATAACTAAGGATATAAAGAAGAAGCCCTATTGAGACTAGTCAGAGGGGTGGAGACATGAAATGGGCTGGCTCCACACCCACATGTGGCAGTTGAGATCGGAAGGGATATCTCAGCTGCAGAGGTACCCCCGAGTAATGAAGGGTCCAGCCCCACACTGGGCTCCCCAACCCAAGCACCAGTGCTGGGAGGGTCCCTTGACACATCTAGCTGTGAAGATCAGCAGGGATTCTGTTCTTCCAGGCGAGATGGAAGGCTGCTGGAAAGCCAGACTTCCTCTTAAAGGGCCCATGCACACACTTACTCACAGGCACTCACCCTGGGCTCTGGTGAAGGGACAACAGCTGGGGGTGGAGGTGGGGGGGGGCACCAGAGACATACAGGGAGAGACTGAGTTATGTGGCTTCAGGGCAAGGGCTGGAGGGACAGCCACCATTGTCCATGTGTTGAGCCCTTCTTCCACGTGGCCAAGTATGAATCTGCTTTAGCCTGGTGAACACCATGTGCTCCACCCTGATGACTCCCTGAGACCCCCTCCTTACCCAACTTGTGTACCACCTGAGGCTCTTTCAATGGCTTATCTTTACAGAAGCCAACAGGTGACAGCAGGCCTCAGGATCTCCTGTGTTTTTGGCTGAATGATTTCAGGTCTGGTAATGGTGGCAGCTGGCCTTGGTTCACAGCTCGCCTGGATGACCTCTCCCATGTGCTTCCAGGCCCAGCACAGGCAGCTACCAACTGCAGATCACTTTATAGCTTCTACCAGGTAGCCCCAGGCTGGCCACAGGCAGTGGCTGACCTTGGCCTGCACAGCAGCCTCTCCCAAGAGGTCTCAAAACCAACACACCCAATGGCTGGCTTCAGACCACAGTAGAGCACTACCCGATTAACTCCACAAGTGGCACATGCAGAGGGTGGTCTGGATAGGCACCAAAGGCCACTGGGATGAATCCTGCTCCTTGGGGACAGCCCCCGCACAGCAGCTCACACTCTTGTCATCATGGCCAATCTTCACAGCCAGTCAGCTTGAGGGTCAGTCTTACCACTGATGTGTCAACAGCTATAAAGGCTCAACTACAACA